TTATCTAAAAATAATTGTTAACATATACTCGTATATAGTCCGGCGTAATGTATGTTAGCTATGAAATTATTAAGAATAAATAACTATCCTCAATTCGTAAAATATTATTCTGTTACCTGTGTATCTTTATATTAATTATAAATAATCATGTGCCGGATATATGTTAATTATGATCGAGCGAAATGAATTAATTGTCTTATGTTTATAAATTTACCTTACGCCAATCTCAAGTCCCGACGTCTTTTTACCTGTCAGCCGATCTTTGCCGAGCGACCCTCGATCGCACACTATTGAAAACCGCAAGCGGGCGTCCCGACGACCGGCGTCCGTCGGTCCAAACCGCTCCAATACCTACTGACAGCCTTCCGCAAGACATTTATTTCTGAACTGACTGTGGGGGGTACTGTATCCCTACTGTCAGTTTCTTTAGTTGTATCTTGTTGGATGTGGACTGTAGCTTTCTTGTGGGGTAGATCTTGACTTTATTTTAATAAAAGGTAGACGTAGACAACGCAACTGTAACTTTATTCTACCGCTGATTGTACATGCAAACTTTTAACGTAATGGGTACACAACAAAACTTAAGATATTCTTGCTAAACGAAATAAGAAAAATAATTTTTTGACAGCTTCAGTCTAATATCCACTCTGATTCACGAACGGGATTGACAAAACACGCTATTTTGGCGCTGTTTGACGGCCCGAGCGAGAAAGGGCGGTGGTGGTGGTGGTGTTGGTGGTGGTGTAAGCTTTTCCTTATATGGTCATCTTTGGCAAAAAGTAACTGAAAGGGTACAGGAACGCACAAGGCAACGCCTCTGTGAACGAAACAAAGCTGTAAGTTCGGGAAGCAACCGCACCATTCAATTGATGAGGCCGGGCCGGGTGGCTTTTATTACCATTATTATTGTTTTGGTAGAAAAGTAGTAAACAGGTTGCTAGTGCAGAGAGTGGCGAACCGTTAGTTTCTATTTTATAACTTGTATAACTGCTCCCATATTTTAGTGTAATATAACAGGGTGTTTGTAAATAAGTGCGAAATATTTTAAGGGGTGGTTGCAAGTTATTTTGTGAAAAAAGTTCATATAAACGTAGGTCGTTTCCGAATTTTTTATTAATTTTTATTAATTATTTCAGAGACCTGAAAAATCGAATTACAGCCGGCTGTGAGACAATAAGAAATACAGTAGGAATATTTCAGCGAATATGACGGTCAATGGGGCGAAGAGTTGATACTTGTATCATAATTTGTGAAAGAAGTCATTTTCAACATTTGTTGTAGGTTTGCGACTATTAAAAAATATTTTTATTACCGTTTTGTGTTATTGTTTGGGTTTAATGCTGTATTAGATAATAAAACTTTTTGAAATATTTATAACATCCTGTATCTCGAAATCGAAGAATTTTTTACTCACATTCATATCAACTTTTTATTTTCAATGTTGAATTGCATTTTTACTTTGACCATGATAACGCTCTATTAAAAGAGACCTTTAAATAAAAGACCTAGGTACAATAAAATATGTTTTATTTTTTTCCCTCAAAAACGGTACATCCTACGAACAAAATTGAAGAGACTAATTTCATTCAGAATTATTGATGGCGGATTTCTAAGAAAATATGAAACCGGGAAAGAGTCAGATGCGTACCATTTTTTTATTAAAAAATGTTGTGGAATTCTCGCACGAACGCCACTGGTACAAGTAGAAATATTCAGATCATCCCAAAAAATGCACATTTATCCCTCCACAGCGTTTTTCAAATTTCGAGTCAATATCTTTAAAACTCTGAAATAATTAATAAAAGTAAATAAAAATTTAAAATTTAAACACTGTAACTCGGAAAGAAACATATTTCGACCCAAGAATGTTTATAATATATAGGATTGCTAGATAAGCAGATATTTTGGCCACGATAGTGGGGGTTGTGACGTCATCGCGGACCACTCCAGATGAATCTGTATACGCGCATACTGTTATAAGATGTTTAATTTCTATATTTTTTAATATGACGTATGTTTAAAGTATTTTTTCTTAAAATATAAACTTTATAATATGTAACGTGATTCCCAGTAAATAGAATTATACTCAAGTTATACAAATTTCTATTTTTTATTAGCAAATGGCATAGGTATTGAAATGTATTTTAAAAATCGCAAAAAGTTAATATTGCAAGTTTGTAATTTAGATAATTATGAATGTTTCAAACTTCCTCTAAAATATGAAAATTATTATTTTCCGGTTCATTTGCACTTTCGGAAGTTATATAGATACTTATTTTACCGTGTTAAATCTTTTGAAATATATTATGTTTAAAGTTATGTAATTATTATTTAAACGTGTACCAGTAACTTATTCCATTAATATATTTTTAAAACAATTAAGTGCATTGAATATTAAATATTTTCTAGACTATTCTCATAAAAAAAATAGTAGGTGGTAACAGTTTTTTATTAAAAAAAAGAAAAAACAAAGGATTCAAACTAGCGCTGTAAAGAAGAGTTTGCTATAATGTGCATTTATGAAAATAATCATATATCCCAAACAAGTTTCATTTACAAAATAGTTAATTAGAGTTTCATTACAAAAAAGTGGTGATATTTGTAACCACAGGCGGCTGATAACATTAGCAAACAGTACTGTAGATTATATCACATCGATTAGATATTATATTAAAATTACATGACATGGTATGTGTATACAGATTATTTTTTAATTTATTTTCTCATCATCTAGGCAGAGCTTATTTGATACAAGTGGGGTAGTTGAAGTACTTGGTGCAACCTGATCGATAATTAATTTATTTATTTCCTCCTTTCTTTGTAATTCTTCTTTCATTTCTTTTTTTAATTATTATATCTTTGTGCCAGTAAATTTGTTACATCATGTGGTTTGTTTGGAAGAAATAATGATGGCACATCAGTTCTTTTAAGGAGTTCTCGTAGAGGCGAACCTGCAAATTAATATACAGCAATTGTTTACGACAACCTGAACACTGAACAAATAATGTAATTATTACCTAATAATACAGGCCAACAAGGGTCAAGAAGGAGACACACTAATATGAATTCACGAAGGATTTTGGTGCGCTGATCCGAATCTGGCCGCAGAATTGCTCTATCACGTCAGGTTTTTGAGATATCCTAACTTAAAAGTGCAAAAACATTGTTTTTCGTCATATTTGAGGTTATGTAGTAATGCCATCTATTCTTAAAAAAAAATAGATATAATTTAAAAGTACAAGGCTCCCTCTTTCGAATGCTGTTGAGTATGCTCAAATATCTTTTTTTTTCGTTGAGATATCACATGTTGAAATTTCTAAGTTTATCAGTTTCTTAATATGCGAAAATCTACTAAGGATCCCTTATATGTCAAACAGTTGATTGCAGTTCAGAAACTTCATACTCAGAAACCTTCAATACATACGAACTCAAACTCACAAACTCCAAATCCACAAACACATAAACCCCAAACCCACAATCCCTAAACCCACAAACCCCAATCCCACCAAACCCGAACCTACAAACTCCAAGTTTACAAACCCCGAGCCCAGCAACTTCAAACCCACAAACCGTATGGGTACGAAGTTTCTGAATTGCAATGCTTGATGTCTAAGAGGTCCTTAGTAGATTTTCGCATATTAAGAAACTGAGAAACTTAAAAATTTCAACATGTGATATCTCAACGAAAAAAAAGATATTTGAGCAAACTCAACGGCATTCGAAGGAGGGAACCTTGTTCTTTTAGATTCAATGTATTAGTTTTTTGAAAAAGAGTAGATGGCATTACTACATAACCTCAAATATGACGAAAAACAGTGCACTTTTAGGTTAGGATATCTCAAAAACCTGACGTGATAGAGCAATTCTGCTGCTAGATTCGGATTCAGCGCACCTAAATCCTTCAGAAATATATATTCAAGTTACTGCTTCCAAAAAAAAGTTAAATTTTGTTGGTCTGTGTAATTCATTTCTCATATTACGTTCATAATCATTTTCAATAAAATGAATGGATTTGGCTGTTACTAGGATTCCATTCGTCTGCCGGCTTACAACGTATAATCCATTCTTTTCGAATAGTGTCAGATACAAAATGTTTTTTTTGGGAAAATTATGGTAAACTACTTCCGGATTATCCGTTTTTGTTGAAATACGGCTGTTACATCCATACATGGCACAACAGCGCCTCGGCATCTGTTATGAAAGATTATAGGTAACCATTAAGAATTATATTTGTTTCTTACAACTTACCGTATTATTGTTGCTACAAATAGTGCACAGATTTAAAAACATTCTACAATTTACACACACTACTGCTAAAAGTTTAAGGAAAAGATGTAACACAAATTTATTAAATGAACGCACAGGCACCATAAGAACGCACAGGCTTCTATAAGAGAAATATATAGAGACTTCTTACACATCAAGATGCGCGATGTCGTCACGGAAGATTGGGAAAACGGCGAAAATTGAAGGTATAGGTATTGAGCAATCCTATGTATTATAAATATCCTTGATTTCGACCTACGTTTATATGAACTTTTTTTCACAAAATAACTTCGGCAACCACCCCCTAAAATATTTCGCACTTATTTACAAACATCCTGTATAGTGACACGTCACGTATTATTTTGAAGGAGACAATGGAGCAAAATTAATCCCCATGTCCACTCCGTGTTAGAAGGCTGTTTTTGAAACCAATTATGTACAAATTATTCCTCGGTCAGTTCATTTAGATTTTCTGATAAATGAGGTAATCCTTGTTGAAAGTATTGAACATCCATCGATTTGAACATAAATCCTAAGTTACCGACCCTAATAGTATCTGATAAAAGAAACGTTTAAGAATTCTTATTTAGACGTGATAAGGCTTAAAAAACAAGTACAGATTTTAAAATACATATTACTTGAAATAAGATTGAATCATTTACTTATCGGGACAGGGGATTATCATTTATTGAAAAACAATCTGTGGAAGAAATTACTCAACAAAAACAGTGTCAGGGGAAAGTAATGCTCCTTATTGCTCGGCGATAGTGCTTACGAAGAAAACGGGAAAATACCCAATATGTGTTGATTTTAGAACCTTAAATAAGTAAGTTGTTCGTATTGTTTTTCCATTACCTATTATCGATGATCACTTAGATAGGAGTAGTTTAAAATATTCTACAAGTTAGATTTGCGTAATACCTTCTACCATGTTGACCTAGATGAAGAATCTAAGAAATATACATCATTACACGTTTAGGACAATACGAATTTTGTCGAATACCTTTTCCAGCTGTTTTTTGTCGATTTATTAAGACGGTTTTTAAAAATTTTATTAAAACTGAAAAAGTACTCATTTATTTAGATGATCTCATGATAGCAATAAGTATCATAAAAGAAAATTTAGAAGTGTTTAAACTAGTATTCAAGTTACTGATAGAATATCTTTTAGAACTTCGGTCATGTAAATGTGTGCTTTTAAGGGCAGATATAGATTTTCTTGGATACCGAATTAAAGAAAAGAGCGTAAGTCCAAATGGGGGAAATATTGTTGCTATAAAAAATTACCTGGTAGGTACCAGAGAATATTAGAGAAACGCAAAGGTTTGTAGTAACTACATTAGTTATTTCAATCGGTCAGTTCAGAATTTTGCAGTTATTGCAAAACCTCTTAAGGACTTGATAAGTCAATGTTTAAATTTTGTTTAGAAGTATACCAGGAAAATTAGCGAAAATAAAAGAGAAACTCGAAAAAAGTCCTATCCGCTAGATTATTGTAAAATTGTCTAAAGGAACATAATACAAGATATCTCTCCTCTCGTGAGTCAAAAACTTTTATTAGCTAACTTTTCTATTTAAACAAATAAGTTTTTTCACTATGCAGGGAAAACCATCAATTTTAGCGAAAAGTGACTCTCAGACAGCTTATAGGGAGTAAAATTATCTACAAAATGAGACCAGTTAAATTAAAATCGGTTAATAAACAAAAAAGTTATTGCAAAAAAACAAGAAAAGTGCCCATTTTTTCATTTGTTTATAACTATCGCATTTATTGTTAAAATTTTATAAAACCTATGACAAGTTGAGGGTTTTGTCAAACTTTAAAAGTGTGCCAAAAGTGGGCGCTGTAGGTGCAATAGTTTTCGCACAATTCTATTTGTTTATAGCGGCGGCTCCAAAAGTTATGAACTTTAAGCCTCTGTACAGGCGTTAATTTTCAATCAAACATGATTGTGAAAGCGTCATTGTAATCTTAAAGATGCAATTATGCGGCCTATTAAAAAATATCACCGTTTTTTTACATTAACATTCTCAAATTGTGCATTAAAAAACCGTGCGTTTTTCGCTTATAAACAATTAGAATAACATTGTTGCTATTTATGCTATCTCACCGAAAATAGATGCAATAGATAGCTGGCAAAAAAATACAGTTTTAAAATAAAAAAAGTACCCTCTACGACCAACAGGAGCCAAGATAATAATTTTTTTTTAAATCGTAACGCAATTGTTTATAAATATTAAGACGAATTTTTCGCAAAATAAAATTTACGACGTAAACTACGATTTCCCGTGAATTGCATTGAAAAATGTGGAAAATTAACGACTCACGAGCCTTTTAAAGAGAAGGTACTCGCTAAGTAAACTGTTCGGCGGCCGGCGGCGTGGTGGTGGGGGAAGCTCGTCCAAGCGGTCGCGCGGGCGAGAAAAGTTTAAATCCAAAGTTCAAATAAATGCGCGCTGTAAATTTTCTCGGCTTCTATTCATCGTAGAAACTTATTTTTTTCTAAACTGGGGTGGCTCGACGAAAAAATAACAATGGGCATATTTACGAATTCGTAGAATAGCCCTGAACTCCAGAAAAAATGCATCTTTTATATTTAATTTTTTTTAATTTACAAAAATGTCACAAAAATTATTGTTAAACGAAATAATTAAAATTTCAATTTCGGAATTATTTTACTATTATTAAATAAATAAATGAAGCTATCGTTCATTTAAAAAGTTATTTCTTTTACATATTAAGGCAAAGTAAACATTGTTTTTTCAATATTTTATTAGCTTTTTAATTACGATTTAAATGTAAAATTAAAGTAAAAATTCATAAATTATTTTCAAATTATTATTTCTCATAAAAATAGAAAAAATTTTAAATTGTATTATATTGCATTATTTATATCTATTATTGAAAATGTTTGTGATTAATATTTTTTGAATTAATTTTGATTATGTTTATAAAATTAGTAATAAATATAATAAAAAAACTTTATATATTAAAATTTCAGGAAGTTAAAATAGTAATTTTATCGACCGCATTATTTTTATTAATATTTTTAATTTTGAGAATTTTGCAATAAATTCAAATGCTTTTTATTCTTTTTTAAATCTTTTAACAATAAATAATAATTTGAAAATAATTTACTTTTAAGTTTTTACTTTAATTTTACATTTAAATCGTAATTAGCTAACAAAATATTGAAAAAACAAGTTTACTTTGCCTTAATATGTAAAAAAATTACTTTTTAAATGAACGAGGGCCTCATTTATATGTATATTTAATAATAGTAAAATAATTCCGAAATTGAAATTTTAATTAATATTTCGTTTAACAATAATTTTTGTGACATTTTTGTAACTTAAAAAAAATTAAATATAAAAGATGCATTTTTTCTGCGGTTCGGGGCTATTCTACGAATTCGTAAATATGCCCTTTGTTATTTTTTCGTCGAGCTACCCCAGTTTTAAAAAAAAATAAGTTTCTACGATGAATATTAATAATACTACTTACTTACTTACTAAATATTTATAAACAATTGGCTCCTGTTGGTCGTAGAGGGTACTTTTTTAATTTTAAAACCGTATTTTTTTTGCCAGCTATCCATTGCATCTATTTTCGGTGAGATAGCATAAATAGCAACAATGTTATTCAAATTGTTTATAAACGAAAAACGCACGGTTTTTTAATGCACAATTTGAGAATGTTAATGTCAAAAAACGGTGATATTTTTTAATAGGCCGCTTAATTGCGTCTTTAAGATTACAATGACGCTTTCAGAATCATGTTTGATTGAAAATTAACGCCTATACAGAGGCTTAAAGTTCATAACTTTTGGAGCCTTCGCTATAAACAAATAGAATTGTGCGAAAACTATTGCACATACAGCGCCCACTTTTGGCACACTTTTAAGGTATGACAAAACCCTCAACTTGTCATAGGTTTTATAAAATTTTAACAATAAATGCGATAGTTATAAACAAATGAAAAAATTGCCACTTTTCTTGTTTTTTGCAATAACTTTTTTGTTTATTAACCGATTTTAATTTAACTAGTAGATAATTTTACTCCCTATAAGCTGTCTGGGAGTCACTTTACGCTAAAATTGATGGTTTTCCTTGCAAAGTGAAAAAACTGTTTTTCTCACTTATTTGTTTAAATAGAAAAGTTAGCTAATAAAAGTTTTTGACTCACGAGATGAGAGATGTCTTGTATTATGTTCCTTTAGACAATTTTACAGTAAAATTTAATTTGCTTGGTCTAAAGATATTGAGGCTTTTGAAAGCTTAAAAACCAAATTAATCGAACATATCTTAGCTATTTGTTTACCTCTTAATGTGATAGAACTACATTGTGATGCTAGTAGCCTAGGTTTCGGGTCAATATTATTACAGACGCAGGGACATGGTAGGTTCCATCCTGTATTCTTTTTTAGTAGACGTACTACCAATAGTGAATCCAAGTTTCATAATTATGAGGGTTAGTGGTAATATATTCATTACGGCAGTTTTATATCTGTTTATATTCCATTCCTTTTCCTATAAAATAGTGACTTAATGTGACAGTTTTCCTCTCACTTTGTCAAAGAAAGATTTTGTTCCTAGAATTATGCGATGGTGCTTAGAACTACAGAATTATCAATATACGATCGAGCACAGACCTAACTAACCCGCGCATGCGACATGTGGATGCCTTAATCTGGGCTCATAATATTTTAGTATTGCAATGCAATTCATCTGAGCAAACGTTAGCTTTGAAACAAAATACGGATCAGAATATCAGAAAATACGAACTAGAAACAAAAGAGCATCTTTTGTATGAATTAGGAAATAATTCAGTGTATCGTAAAGTTAAGAACGGAATTGCTTTTTATGTACCGGAAACAATATAACGAAATGGGACACTTCGGAATAGACGAGACCGCAGAACTAATTTCACGTAGGTACTAATTGGTTTCCAAATATGAAACAAAAATTAAAGAGCATATAAACAATTGTCGTACATTGAGTTTAATCCAAAATTAGGAACAAAAGAGGGTTTTATACATGGTATTCCAAAAGGAAAGTTACCTTTAGAGTGTACACATATTGATCATTACGGACCTTTAGAATAGACGGGTAAAAGAATATTTTTGAAAATACTGATGAATTTTTTTTAATTAGATTTCTTGCGTGTAAAATTACTAAGACCGAAGAAGTTGTTAAACATCCACAAACTTTAACTGTTATAGTTGTATCAGTCAGGAGTTCATGTCTCACCTCTCAATTTTTTGAAGATCTTACTAAAGAAAATAATATCCAACATATTCTAATTACATCAGGAGCTCTTGGAGCAAATAGGCAGATTAGGCGAAAGAACAAATGATTAACTCCATTATTAGGTAAATTAGTTGATAAAAAACATATTAATTGGGATTAGGTGAAGTTGAATTCTGTGTCAACATAGTTAATAGAACTACAGGGGAAACTCCTGCGAAATTACTTTTTGGTAGAAATCAAATAGGTCACATTCAGGATAATTTAAGACTGATTTTTGAATCAATGAAAGCTGATGAAAGATTAGATTTAGATGAAACGCACAAGGATACTCATCTTTATAAACTAGGTGTCTATGTAATGATTTCTAATGTAGATACTACTGTCGGAACAAACAAAAACTACCCAAATCCAAATTTCGAAGCGGTTATGTAATAAAAGCGGTCTTACCTAACGTTGCAGTTACCGACATCATGGAGTTCCCGAACTCCCAGATAACCTTATTCTATCCAAGAAAAAAGAAAAACATTTAATTATTAAGTTCTAGATTTGAATTTATTAATGCTTACTTGAAGAATA